CAATTTCAGTGTGCTAGAAAGGTCAAGGTCCTGCAACCTGCTATTGTTGATGCTGTTTCCTTGACACTCTAAGCTGCAACTAATGGCATAAAAAACAGACAAGAAAATAATTTATTGATTAAAGGAAGGGATCTGTGTCATGAACCCTGGAGCTAATCCTTTCAACATCCATGTTGCTTTGTTCTGTAACATTCCTTTATACCATGCTTTCCAGCACCAAAATGATGAGCATTAGAACGGAGGGTTCAGGGAGGGAAAACATCCCATTCCTACCCCTGAACACATTACAGAAACATATAGCAAATTAGGAGCTTGGAAAATTTGTCAATGCTGTTGCTTCCCAGTAAGCAATTTTAAACTTCCAATCATAAAGCATTGCACCAAATCTCCAGTGTTTGCACGCATAGCAGAGATGCTTTTAGGCTGGGAGTATCCGAAAACTTAGCTTTATTGTACTGAAGAATATACCATCACAAACACCATTGAATGGCAGAGAATTAGATCACATTCCCAATTCCTTGAATACTTTTAAGACAGTCCTTCTGAAACCTATAGGATAAGCTCAGGTCCTGACTCCACTGTAAACTATAAGTTTTCAGGCAAATTGTATCTCTTTCTCTCTGTCTCTGTTTTTCTGCCTCTCTCTCTCTGCGTCTGTCTCTGTCTCTATCTTTTCTCTGTATTCCTCTCTCTTTCCCTTGCTTCCTCCCTTCCTCCCTTCCTCCCTACTTCCATGTCTGCCTCCTCCTCTCTCTCTGTGTTCATCCACGTGTACTGGTTCACATGTGTGCACGTGGGAGCAAAGGATAACCTTGTTGTCATTCCGCAGACACCATCTCACCATACACTTTTTTAGGGGGAATAGGGTCTCTCACTGACTAGTCTCGCAACTCGGTGAACCCCAAGGATCTACCTGCCTCCACATCCTTGGCACCACCCTGACTGACAATTTGTTTTATTAACTTAGGTTCTAGGGATCGAACTCAGGTCCTCATGGTTGTAAGTTGAATAAAGACTTTAATACCTATGTCATTTCTTCAGTCTCCAATTCTTTCTTCCTTAAGTTCTGAGGGAGGGAATACTGAGTGAAGCAGCTAAACTCAAGGGACATTTGTGAGGCAGTATGGAAACCTAATTAATACAGTAGAAGCTTCCTAGAAAATATATATATTTATATATATGCAATTTACATCAAATTGCCAAATAATGGGGAAGACAGAGTCTTAAATGGCTATCTCTTGTCACCAAGTGAAGCTTCCAGTACCATGATTGGGTTACATCTAATTAAGTTTTTCACCAATGAAATCCCATGGGAATCCCCAAACAATCCAGGCCAAGACTGTAAGGTTTCTTTCACAAATTAATGCTGAAAAGAATTCATTGACACAAGTCAATGAACATGGAGAAGGCAAGCTAGTGCCTACATAGAACCTTCACTCCTATATTCTAGTGTCTTTGGTACAGGAAAGTACTCTACATGCTCCCAAAAGAAAAACGTAAGCACCAGCCCAGTCACAACCCCTTTGTTCTACAATGGTGTCCTGACTGTAAAATATGCTAGGACAATGGGAGCACAAAGATGGTAAGAATAATCAACCAATAACTGACTTGATTTAAGACCCGCTCCATGAGATAGAGCCCATACACAATATTGCTTGTGTGACCAAGAACCAGAGACTAGATAGGGACCTACAGTAAAATCAAATTTTAGTATTATAAAAAATGTAGCAAAAAATTACTCTTAATGACATTCTGCTACACTCATAGATCAGTGCCTTGTTTGGCCATTATCAAAGAAGCTTCCACCTTTGTTCCACCTCAGATGGGAACAAATACAGAAATCCACAGCCAGATAATATGTACTGAGTGTGCGACCTTAGAACACTTGGCCCTCAATGTAATGGCTGTGTCAAGTCCCTATCCTCAAAGCTCAGAGAACCTCCCACAGAAGAGGAGGCAGAAAGAGTGTAGGAGAGCTGGAAGGCATGAAGGACACAAAGAAACAAAGCTCGCTAAATCAAAAGGATCAAAGCTCTTATGAACTCAGAGACTGAGGCAGCCTGCACAGGGCCTGCACAGGTCTGCACCAAGTCGTGTGTGTGTGTGTATGTGTGTGTGTGTGTGTGTGTGTGTGTGTGTGTGTGTGTGTGTTATAGATTCCAGTTTAGTGTTTCTTATGGGATTCCTGAGTGTATGAATGAGTGGGTCTTTGATTCCTGTGTTATCTCTTGGGCTTCTTTTTTTCTGTTTGTTTGTCTTGTCCAACTCCAATGTGTTAGTTTTTGTTTTATGATGATATTATATTATTTTAAAAAGAGTGCACCTCCCTAAAACACAGTCACCAATCTAGGATACAGCAAATGTCTAAGTTACATTTTATGTGTCAGTGGGAATAAAAACAAAAGCTAAGAGATTACCTGTATTCCATAATTGATTTAAAGTTATAGTTGGATTGTTGCTGGTCTGTTGAGAAACATGGCTCTTTGAATTTAAAAAAAATAGTACATTCTATGAAATCAGTACCTGATTGTCTGCTGTGCTGTTCTTCAGTTGTGCTTTTATCTGAATCTGCAGACATCCAATATGCTATGATCTTTATTATTCTTTCTACTATATTGTGAATCTGCTTTCACAATTCTGGGCACATAAGGTCATGCATTATAATTACCTATTTAGAAGATAAATATGACTACAAAACATCATTATTTTGAGAGCAGTAAACTTTTGTCTATTTCTCCCCATCCCAATCTCTGCTAGGTTCTATGGTAACTTTTCAATTTTCTGTTCCAAGTACTTCAAGTATTAAAATCATACAGACTTTTTATGTTTGACTTATTTCACTTGGCACAATGTTTTAAAAGACAAATGTATTTAGGATGATGGGAATTTTCTGAATGTGGTGGTGAGTAGGTGTACAATATTAAAAATTTATTGAATGTTGCTGAATAGTGGGAAAGTTGTTAAAATGGTAAATTTTTACACATTCAAGTTTAAAAATTCCTCTCATAATTCTACTAACTATATTCTAGTAAGAGTAATTTTCTTTGATCGGTTTTTCTCTTTTTTAATGCTTCTATATTTTTGATGATTAGTATTTCTGATTCTGTAGTGGAAATGATGACTAATACATAGTCAAAATGCTAGATTCTTTCATGTTTCTTACAAATATATTTTAATTGAAAGAGAATTACATTTTTGCCTCCCCCTCTCCTTTCTCTTGCCCCTTCCAGGTTCTCTCCCTCCAATTCTTTCATGCCCCCTAGCTATCAAGTTAATAGCCTCTGTTTTCCTTGATTATTATTGTTATATACATATATAGATATGAATATGTATTTATAAATATATAAATATACTTTCATGAGTTTGAGAAAAAATAAATACATTGTCTCTCTAAACATGGATATTAGGGGAAGATGAACTATTGAAAATATTGTTACTTAGAGCAAAGAGATACAACTCTGGTATAGAAATCAAGATAAATATTCATTATTAGAATAACTCTCAACTTGTGACCGGAAGACAGGTAAGAAGAACATGGGCATGCAGATATCAGGTGGCAGTTGACCAGAGAGCCTTGTTAGGTTAAAGAGCAGATAGCTTGAAAACTTTCATTTGGGCGTATGAGTTAGGGCATGGGCAAAGATAGACTTTCAATTTCTCCTTATGCATTGTAGAATCACTACAGGTTCTGTTAGTGTTGCAATAGTGGGTTTTCACAACACTTATATGAAAGCTATGTAGAATGTAGTGGAGACCTGTAGTGGGAGAAACTATGTAAAATTAAATGTGGAATGAGACCTTGTTTGCAAATACTGTGTGTGCCAATGCCATGAAAGAGTAAGATGGGTCCTAACACAGTGGCTCAATTACGAAAGGAAATTTGAGCACAGTCTCTGAGATGCATAGAGAGAATAGCATGTGACAATTGAGGAATAGAGGGGAGTGCTGCAGCTGGAACCAGCAGAAGATGGGAAGGAGCAAGAAGGACCTTCCCTAGAGCCTTTAAATAGGAGAACAGTACTGCTGACATCTGCAATTCAGACGTCTACCATCTGGAAATATGAGACAATAAACTTATATTGTTTTATGATAATTAAGAATATGGTGCTTTGTTATAGCAGCCCTAGTAAACTTACAAAACACCTTCTAAATTGTACTTTCGAGGGGTGTTCTTTGTAAGGGTAATCAAAATCTACAATAATAGAAATGGCATGTAATACTCAATCAAGAAGGAGCTATAAAATGAGGGGCATTCAGCAGCCCTGGATGTGTAAAAAGTCTCCAAACTTCTACCTTTTGCCAATTTCATTTTCTGTATATATTTGGCATATGTAAAATATTAAATATTAAGAAAGATTTTTCTTTTTAAAACATTCATTTTAGTACTATTCTGAGTGGGTTTTTTGTGTCTATCAGTATGCGGGTGTGCATGTATGAGGGGGCCTGTGGATAACAAAAGAGGGGGTCAGATCCCTGGAGCTGGAGTTATGAGACTATAAGACACCCTATGGAGCTGGGTGGTGGTGCATACCTTTAATCCTAGCACTCAGGGGGCAGAGGCAGGTGGATCTCTGTGAGTTTGAGGCCTGCCTGGTCTACAAAGCAAGTTGCAGGACAGTCAGTACTGTTACACCGAGAAGCACTGTCTTGAAAACCCAAGAAAAAGATTGAGCCATCTCTCCAGTCCCAAGAAATATTTCTCCTTTAAAGTATAGAATTGAGTGGACAAAGGGCTGGAGAGATGGCTCGGTGGTTAAGAGCATTGCCTGCTCTTCCAAAGGTCCTGGGTTCAATTCCCAGCAACCACATGGTGGCTCACAACCATCTGTAATGAGCTCTGGTGTCCTCTTCTGGCCTGCAGGCATACACACAGACAGAATATTGTATACATAATAGAAAGATAGATAGATAGATAGATAGATAAATAGAATTGAGTAGACAGAAGAAGTTTAAGCTGGCACTTGTCACCTGAAATATGGGGGTAGAGGGTGGATACTCACTTCAACATGTTGACAGGTTTGGATGAGTTTAGCCAAAAGGGTCTCCAGTTCTGTGTTCCTCTTAATGAGATTGGTGAGATTGCTCTCCAAGTTTTGCTGTTTAAAAAAGGAAGAGAGAAATGTTATTCTGTGTACTTTTCTACTTTAGTAGGTATAAAACTGTTCATTCTCAGAAAAGGATGAATAGATATTTTTCAGAATCCTAGTGCTATTAACTCAATTTCAAGTATTTATAAATTTAAAATAGATTTTCAAAAGTTGTATCTCAAAGACTTCAGATTTGTAATGCCATTTAGCAAAGAGGACATGGGGTTTCTGGGTATGGCTCAATGATAGAGCACTTGCCTAGCAAGCACCTGGATTCTATCAAAACAAAAGAAAAACAAACAATAATCAAAACATAAATTCATTCCGCAATTTATTAAAAAAATTAGCCTGCTTTCATTTCCTCATATTTTCACTCAGATAGGCATAGTAAGGAAGAGAGCTTTTCTCATCTTTTTTTTTTTTTTTTGGTTTTTCGAGACAGGGTTTCTCTGTGGTTTTGGAGCCTGTCCTGGAACTAGCTCTTGTAGGCCAGGCTGGTCTCGAACTCACAGAGATCCACCTGCCTCTGCCTCCGAAGTGCTGGGATTAAAGGCGTGCGCCACCACCGCCCGGCCTCATCTTATGTCTAATATAAGCAACAAGAAACAGATAATCTCACTCCATTACTGAAAATGTTTATGAGTTGTAGAAAGTTCTTGGTAGAATTTTTGGGGTCGCTTATGTAAAATATCATATCATCAGCAAATAGTGAGAGTTTGATTCGTTCTTTTCCAATTTGTATCCCCTTGATCTTCATTTGTTGTCTTATTGATCTGGCTAGGACCTCAAGAACTATATTGAATAGATATGGAGAGAGTAGACAACCTACTCTTGTTCCTGATTTCAGTGGGATCTCTGGGAGTTTCTCTCCATTTAGTTTGATATTGGTTGTTGGCTTGCTGTATATTGCCATTATTATGTTTAGGTATGTTCCTTGTATCCCTGCTCTCTCCAAGACCTTCATCATGAAGGGATGTTGTATTTTGTCGAAAGTCTTTTTCGGCATCTAATGAGATGATCATGTGGTTTTTATTTTTCAGTTTGTTTATATGGTGGATTACATTGACAGATTTTCGTATGTTAAACCATCCCTGCATCTCTGGGATGAAGCCAACTTGATCATGGTAGATGACAGTTCTGATGTGTTCTTGGATTCGATTTGCCAGTATTTTATCTAGTATTTTTGCATCAATGTTCATGAGTGAGATTGGTCTGTAATTCTCTTTCTTAGTAATATCTTTCTGTGGTTTGGGAATCAGGATAATTGTAGCCTCATAAAAAGAGTTTGGCAATGTTCCTTCTGTTTCTATTGTGTGGAATAATTTGAGGAGTACTGGTATTAGTTCTTCATTGAAAATCTTGTAAAATTCTGAACTGAAGCCAACCAGTTCTGGACTTTTTTTGCTTGGGAAACTTTTGATGACTGTTTCTATTTCTTCAGCAGTTATAGGTCTGTTTAATTTGCTTAGCTGGTCTTGATTTAATTTTGGTAAGTGATATTTATCCAGAAAGTTGTCCATTTCCTATAAGTTTTCCAATTTTGTGGAGTACGGATTTTCGAAATATGACCTGATGATCTTTTGTATTTCCTCTGTGTCTGTTGTTTTGTCCCCCTTTTCATTTCTAATTTTGTTAATTTGGATATTCTCTCTCTGCCTTTTTGTTAGTTTGCATAAAGGTTTGTCTATTTTGTTGATTTTCTCGAAAAACCAACTTTTTGTTTCATTGATTTTTTATATTGTTTTTTTTTGTTTCTATTTTTTTTTTTGATTTCAGCTCTCAATTGAAGAAGACACCAGAAAGTGGAAAGATCTCCCATGCTCTTGGATAGGTTGAATTAATATAGCCAATCTTACCAAAAGCAATCTACAGATTCAATGCAAAATGCCAATCAAAATCCCAGCAATATTCTTCATAGATCTCGAAAGAACGGTACTCAGTTTCATATGGAAAAGCAAAAAAACCCAGGATACTGAAAACAATTCTGTATAATAAAAGAACTTCTGGAGGCATCACAATCCCTGACTTCAAACTCTACTACAGAGCTACAGTACTGAAAACAGCCTGGTAGTGGCATAAGAACAGACAGGAGGACCAATGGAACTGAATCGAAGACCCGGATAATAATCTACACACCGTCAAACACCTGATTTTTGGCAAAGAAGTAAACAATAACAAGTGGAAAAAAGAAAGCATATTTAACAAATGGTGCTGGCATAACTGTATATCATCATGTAGAAGAATGAAAATAGACCCATATCTATCACCCTGCACAAAACTCTAGTCCAAATGTTTCAAAGACCTCAACATAAAGCCAGTCACACTGAACCTTATAAAAGAGAAAGTGGGAACTACACTTGAACGCATTGGCCAGGAGACCACTTCCTAAATATAACCCCAGCATCACAGACTTAGAGAAACAATTAATAAATGGGACCTCCTGAAACTTAAAAGTTTCTGTAAAGCAAAGGACATGGTCAACAAGACAAAATGAAGGCCTACAGAATGGGAAAAGAGCTTCACTAACCCCACATCAGACAGAGGTCTGATCTTCAAAGTGTACAAAGAACTCAAGAAATTGGTCATCGAAAGAACACATAATCCAATAAAAAAATGGAGTACAAATCTAAACAGAGAACTCTCAACAGAGAAATCTAAAATGGCTGAAAAACACTTAAGAAAATGTTCAACATACTTAGTCATCAGAGAAATGAAAATCAAAACAACTCTGAGATTCCACCTTACACCTGTAAGAATGGCCAAGATCAAAAACACTGATGATAACGTATGCTGGAGAGGTTGTGGGGTAAAGGGAACACTTCTGCATTGCTGGGGGGAATGTAATCTGGTACAATCCCTTTGGATGTCAGTGTGGTGATTTCTCAGAAAATTAGGAAACAACCTTCCTCAAGACCCAGTAATACCACTTTTGGGTATATATCTAAAGGATGCTCAATCGTGCCACAAAGACATGTGCTCAGCTATGTTCATAGCAGCATTGTTTGTCATAGTCAGAACCTAGAAACAACCTAAACGCCCCTCAACCGAAGAATGGATAAGGAAAATGTGGTACATTTACACAATTGAATATTACACAGCAGAAAAAAAGATAACATCTTGAATTTTGCAGGAAAATGGATGGAGCTAGAGAACATCATTTTGAGTGAGGTAACCCAGATACAGAAAGACAATTATCACATGCACTCACTCATAAGTGGTTTTTAAACATAAAGCAAAGAAAACCAGATCACAAATCACAATCCCAGAGAACTTAGACAACAATGAGAACCCTAAGAAAGACATACATAGATCTAATCTACATGGGAAGTAGAAAGTAGAAAAAGACAAGCATACATAGATCTAATCTACATGGGAAGTAGAAAGTAGAAAAAGACAAGCATACATAGATCTAATCTACATGGGAAGTAGAAAGTAGAAAAAGACAAGATCTCCTGAGTAAATTGGGAGCATGCAGACTTTGGGGTAGAGTTGAAGGGGAGGGGAGAGGCAGGGAGGGGAGCAGAGAAAAATGTAGAGCTCAAATAAAAATCAATAAAAAATGTAAAAAAGAAACATATCTCTGTATTTTAAAGAATTCAATTTATTAACATGAATTTTATCTTATAGCTTAGGTTTGGTGATGTTTGTTTATTTTAATAGTCTTGCTTTGTAGCCTAGGTTCATTTCAAATTCTCTTCCCCTTTGACTTAACATTCCAAGTGCTTGGACTGCAGGTGCGAACCACCATACCAAGATTGCATAGTCATTTTTATAATGAGCGCATTTTTGTTTTCAGTGGGTTCTTTATCACGTATCTCTTTTCTTTTTAAAATGCTTTCTGTTCCTGTTCCAAAAATGCAACTACCCTCATAATTCTAAAAGAGCTAAAAATTATTATTGTTAAAATCTTTTGAGAAAGAGGAGATCCACATTTCCTGGCGTTTGTTTAGTGTTTCCCAAGGATCTGAGTTTAGCTTGTGTCTTGTAATTTTTGTCTGACAGTTCATCTGCTGTGAACTTTCTTCCCCATGCTATGATTTGGGTATTCATGTAGCCTAGCTAAGGGAGGTGCACACACTGATGTTAGAACTCTCCCAGAGGACACCCATGTGCAAGTGAGGTACAAATCCTGCTTTGGCTCAGTGCCTTGTTTCCTTCCACGTCACTTCCATGTCTGGCTTCAATTCCAGAGAAGGTGTGAGGTGTTCTGTGTGCCAAGTGTGTGCATGAGGAATCTTTTCTTTCAGCTGTTGGAGCCTTTTGCCACAAGACATATATAGTCACATAAGTGTTCCCTATATCCCCACTGTTCTACTTCATTCTTACTTCTTGGGAGCAGTCCAGCTTCAGTCTCCACCATTGCTTTTACCCCGTTTCTTGTCTTCTTGTCCTTGACCATAATCTGTTCTTGCTCATGTTTACATCATAAGCAATAAGTTTGTTAAGCTTGTGTATATATATATATATATATATATATATATATATATATATATATATTTATGAAGGCACTTTAGAGAATGGGTACAACAGCTCTGTAGATGAAACCTGACCGTTTTCAAACCAATCTTCCCTTCCACACATGCACATGAGAACGCTAGTACACACACACACACACACACACACAGAGAGAGAGAGAGAGAGAGAGAGAGAGAGAGAGAGAGAGATTCTACTGTTTGGAGAAAATGAACTGCAAAATTGGAGATTGAGACTGAATTCCATTGCTCAGTGTCCTTGATTTAGGCATGACTATCGTAAGGTGAATTTGTTAGCTTCTTTTCATGTTAACTTTATAGAATCCTTTTACTTTTCTTCATGGCTGACCACTGATAGCAAGAAATTTCTCAGAAAATACATCATCTAAACTGTTTAGAGTTCAATTGTCATAGGTATGACTTTTCTAAATCTGGTCATAAAGAGAGCCAAATAAATGCAATCCAACACATTCATATTTTACAAACATCTGCTTGCTTCCCCCTCCCATTATTAAGCATACCACATGCATAGAATCT